TCTCATGAGAAAATGATAACCCCATTGTATAGATGAGAAAACTTAGGCTCAAGAACAAGAAGGTGGCCCAAAGACACCTAGCTAGTAAGGTGGCAAAGCCAGGTCTGAACCCAGGTCCTTCTACTCCTGTCACTGCTCTTTCCACCATGTTTCCTCATATGGGATTGTTCTCAAAGCTGGGTGCTGCCATGTTCTGACATTTTCATACACTCAGAGAAAGTAAACAGATCTTTAATGCATTTGCAAATGAAAATTGTAAGCCATTATAAAACTTTGCCAAATCTTTCTCCAAGATGGGCTCTATTCTGCCCCTGATTAATTGTTTTGAGGTGTTGCTGTTTAAATTTTCTCTTGGGCTTTTTTCTGATCAATTAATTCAGATCTGTTAATAGATAATTTAAGCCTGACAAATGAATTCCTTTTTTTTTTTAAAGGTTTTATTTTTAAGTAATCTCTATACCCAGCGTGGGGCCCGAACCCACAACCCCAAGATCAAGAGTCTAATGCCCCCTGGCTAATGAATTCTTAATAGGAAAAGACAAAGTGCAAGCGAAGCAGCATATCTGCTGTTACAGCAACAGCTAGATAATGAATTGTGGCTCTGACCATACCCCTAGCTGTGTAGCGCATTGCCTAGTTTACAATAAGTAGTCAAAATATATTTAATTGACTGGGTTTTGGTCCTCACTTTTCTCTATACAAATTAATTCTATCCCCAGCCATAAGTGGCTGGGACTTGCTATACTAGGGGGTGTGATCACTCTTGAAAGCCCTCAGGCTATGGTCACACGAAGCCCTACTGAGTAGGTAATATTGCTGCTGCTGTTTGTCAAACTGCCACGTGATAAGGTAGTTAGGAAGCGCCTCACAGTTCATTTGTAAATTAGTGATAACAATGTCTACTCTGTAGGGTTGTTGTGAGCTTTGGAAGATTAGCTAGCTAGCTAGTCAGCTGCCTAGCCACAAGACTACAGTCAAGAAAGGTGACTAATTATAAAAAAAAAAAAGGGGGGGGAGGAGGAAAAGTGACTATTATTACTTTAACTGTAGTGTTGAATTACATTATTCCTTTGGTTCACACTCTGTATCTCACATGATTATGCCTGAAATGTGAAAGATCTTGAAGTATATTCTAGAATCTTTTAATATTTGAATTTTTAAAAAGAATCATATAGAATGGTACAAAAATAATAGCCAGTACTAACTGCTTACTCTGTACCCAGGACAGTTTTTGAGCGCTTTTATGTTCATTTATTTATTTCGTCTTCAAAACAGTCTTCTGAAATGGGTATTAGTATTATCTCCATTTTACAGTTGATGAAATAGATGCAGAAGTAACTTGCCCAACCAAGGTCACGTGACTAGTAGTAAGTAGCAAAGCTAGATTTGAACCCAAGCAGTTTTATGCCAGAACCCGTACTTCATTACACTAAATGTAGCCAGATTCAATAATTTTGTTTCTGATTTGTGCCTTTTCATGTATGTTTAAGAAAATCCTTCCCCCCATATTTTCCAATACTACCTTCTAAAAGGTTTAAAATTTGCTTTCGACATTTGCAATTTAGTTGCCTGTCTGGAATGAGGGTAGGAATCTCATTTTATTTTGTTGTATATGGATAGCCTAATATGCCAGCAAAGGCTTTTGAAAAAGAGAACCACTTTTCAGTTGGTGCATTTATAACTCACGGCTAAGTATTCTTACCTCTAAGGGCTTTTGTTCATAGCTCAAAAGATACCCAGAGGGTATTCACAGCCCCTGTCCTGTAATTCTGTAGTTCAGTGTATCTTTTTCTTGCCACCTCTTTCCTCTTCTTCTTCTCCCCTTTTATTCCGCCCCCCCGCCCCAATTTCTGCCTCTTCTCTCTCCTTCCTTTTTGAAGATAGTGCTTGCCAAATTGGGAAAAGTTACTGATTAATCAAGTGATTCATGGTTTCAGGTGTTAAACTACCCTCCTGCTGAAGCTGTGGATTCATTTTCTTTGGAGGCTGAGAACAGTGGGTTCTGTCAGATGTACTCTTGCAGGGATATTGATGACTCTTAAGTGGGAGTCATATACTGGTAGGATGTAGTGTGGCCCCAAACAGCCTAGGTAGGACAGAAGTCAGATTAAAGATAGTCTGGTTTGGGGCACCTGGGTGGCTCAGTTGGTTGAGCGGCTGCCTTCGGCTCAGGTCATGATCCCAGGGCCCTGGGATCGAGCCCCCATCAGGCTCCCTGCTCAGCGGAGAGCCTGCTTCTCCCTCTCCCTCTGCCTGCCACTCTATCTGTGTTCTCTCTCTGTCAAATAAATAAATAAAATCTTTAAATAAATAAGTAAATAAAGCCTGGTTTACTTTAGTTACTGTGTAGGGAAATAAAATCAGAACTCAACTGTGATCATTTGTAAAAAAAATTACATTGAAATTTTGTTGTGTTTTTTCAAATTTAGAGACATAATAAAACTTTGATTCTGGTACCAAAGCCATATTGTCACCAGTATGATCAATATTTATCCTCCCTGAGTAATAATTAAACTTGACTTCTATATCTGCACTTCTTTTGACAATAGACTGCATGTAAGGTGATATTCAAACTAATAGCAAAGAACCTAAGAAAACTAGATAAAAATGAGCTTGTAGTCTTGAATCAGTGGTATTTTATATTTGCTTTTCTTTCCTGTGGTAGATTTTGAGCTATTAAACATAAGTACACAATCAGGGTCTACTACATACTGTAGTTGTGGGATCTGAAATCCCATTTAGAAAGAAAATCACACAGTAGGAACCCTGTACAACTTAAGAGAGTGACTGTAAGGCACTGAAGAAAGTGGGTTTCTGGAAGCTCCTTTTTCAACTCTTGGCAACGTGGTTATCTGGAACTGGCTCATTCTTTCTGCTGCTTCCCTCTGGCCCTTTCATTGCTTGTTAGCTTGCACCTAAAAATGGGGCAGATGGAGGAAGTTATGCAAAATAATTATTGTGCTAGTCCCTAAACTATTCTGGACATTTTTGTTATTAGTGGAACATAATGTCATTTTGCTCTTCATTTCAGTTTTAAATTATCTTTTGATTTTATTTAAATGCACATTATTTCTCATTTGTTCATCTAAAAAGGAAATACTATGTTTTTATTCACATCAGTAGTAATATGTTAATTCCAGTAATGAACATTCCACTAATAAACTAATAGTTTTGGAGTTAGAGATCACCATAATTCCTGCTCAGATGGCAAACTGAGGAGATACAACCAAGATGAAAAAAAGACTTGACAAGTTAAATATCAGTATTTCACAAATATTTCAGATTTGGTATATTATCACAAAAATGTAATTCACATTTTTAAAATATGAGGGTAACCTATATACAGTTCTTTTTACCAGATTGCTGCTGGTTACAGATTTAGGGATGAGGACTAAGTAAAAGGGATATGATCTTAATCTCCAAGATGGTAAATTGGTAATTTGACACTCATACTGGGCATTTTTATTACCCTGAGATGGTTCTTTTTTTTTTTTCTTTTAAGATTTTTATTTATTTATTTATTTATTTATTTATTTATTTATTTATTTATTTGACAGCGAGCAGAGCAGGGGCAAGGGCAGAAGGAGAGGAAGGAGACTCCCTGCTGAGCAGGGAGCCCCATGTGAGGCTCAATCCCAGGACCCTGGGATCATGACCTGAGCCGAAGGCAGATGCTTAACTAACCCCAGCTGAGCCACCCAAATGTCCTGAGATGGTTCTTTTATTATTTATTTCTGTTACTGTCCAAGAGAGAGCAGTTTCTACAGACTTTTTGCATGAGCCCTACTCCAGTTCATGACAAGCCACACCTTCGGTTTTCTCTCCTGAGTTACGGAAACCTGACCTCTCCCCAGCTTTGGCTAATGGCTTTGAAATAGGATAATTTCAGTTTTCAGATCTGAGCAGCTTGTCGTTTTCTTCATCTCCTTTGAATGGTTGCTCACCCATATGAAGGATAGTCATTGCGTGTGTTTAAGAGTCCCTTGTCTTAAAAAAAACCTTTTATTGGATAGAACTCACAAAAGTTGAGCTCCAAAAGGCCTGAACTTAGTTGTTGACTTGATTAATTTCTTACCTCTTACTGTCTCTCTCCCTGAGTATTCACTTTTCTTGCCCAAGTATATCACAGTACTTGTGATCTGGGATATTAACTCTAAGAGTATACTACATTCATCCTTGGCACTTGGAGCAGTACCTTTTCATTCTTACCTTCACCTGTCTGCAGCTACCAGTTGAGTGTCCCTATTAGAGAGAGAATAACCCCTGACATACTTGGGGTAAAAAGACACTGATAAGAATTGGATTTTTATGTCTAGCCAGTAAAATACCTATTCTCACCAGCATTTTGGATGACCATAATCTCAGAGCATGGATTGGAATTATAGTGATGTCTGAATACTAAAATGATTTTCATATAATTAAATTGAAATGCAGATGTACCTTGTTTCACAAAAGTATGTGTGAAGAATGTGAATAAAATCATGCCTTAAACCCACTGGCGGGGGCACCTGGGTGACTCAGTTGGTTAAGCATCTGCCTTTGGCTCAGGTCATGATCCCAGGGCTCTGGGGTTGAGCCCCGTGTGGGGCTCCCTGCTCAGCGGGGAATCTGCTTCTCCCTCTCCCTCTGCCCTTCCCCCACTTGTGCTTGCCTGCTCTCTCTTTCTCTCTCAAATAAATAAAATCTTTAAAAAAATATAAACAACTAGGGGAGCCTTGTTATTTAAAGAAATAGTGTAATAAATTCTCTAATAAAGGAAGAATACCCCCAGGTTACATCTTGTGCAAATCTTTTTTCATATGTCTGTTTTGTGTAAGGTATACTTGTATGAGGACAGTATCCAAAAGGGACATGGGAGTTGTACAGGACAGGAGGTATTAGGTCAACTATCTGTGCCAAGATCTGAGAGTTTGTAAATTTTCAATACATTTGGTTTATTGATTCTGGAGAGGTAGTCCTCTTGGGCTCCTTCTAACATCCACTTCTTATTTTTACACTAGATCGAGCGATTGGAAGTAAGCAGCCTCGCCCAGACTTCCAGTGCAGTGGCCTCCAGCACCGATGGCAGCATCCACACAGACTCTGTGGATGGAACACCAGACCCTCAGCGCACAAAGGCTGCTATTGCTCACCTGCAGCAGAAAATCCTGAAGCTCACAGAACAGATCAAGATTGCACAAACAGCCCGGGACGACAACGTTGCTGAGTACTTGAAGCTTGCCAACAGTGCAGACAAGCAGCAGGCTGCCCGAATCAAGCAGGTCTTTGAGAAGAAGAACCAGAAATCTGCCCAAACTATCCTCCAGCTACAAAAGAAACTTGAGCACTACCACAGGAAGCTCCGAGAGGTGGAGCAGAATGGGATTCCTCGGCAGCCAAAGGATGTCTTCAGGGACATGCACCAGGGTCTGAAGGATGTGGGAGCAAAGGTGACTGGCTTCAGTGAAGGTGTGGTGGACAGTGTCAAAGGTGGACTTTCTAGCTTCTCCCAGGCGACCCATTCAGCAGCAGGGGCCGTGGTCTCAAAACCCAGAGAGATTGCCTCACTAATTCGGAATAAATTTGGCAGTGCAGACAATATCCCTAACCTGAAGGACTCTTTAGAGGAAGGGCAAGTGGATGATGGGGGGAAGGCTTTGGGGGTGATTTCAAACTTTCAGTCAAGCCCAAAATATGGTAGTGAGGAAGATTGTTCTAGTGCCACTTCAGGCTCAGTGGGAGCCAACAGCACCACTGGAGGCATTGCTGTAGGAGCATCCAGCTCCAAAACAAACACCCTGGACATGCAGAGCTCAGGATTTGATGCACTACTACATGAGATCCAGGAGATCCGGGAAACACAGGCCAGACTAGAGGAATCCTTTGAGACCCTCAAGGAACATTATCAGAGAGACTATTCATTAATAATGCAGGCCTTACAGGAGGAGCGATATAGGTAAGTTATATGTAATTAAAATTCTAAATTGGGGAAGGGAACTGCAAAAAGATCTGTGTAGAGTATCTTTTTTTTATAGCATCCAGAACACTTTAGATATGTCATATAACATCCCCATAGTTCTATCATAGAGAGCAAAATAGAGGCACAGCAAAGTTAAATGACTCCTGAGATCATACACCAATGAAACATTGGGGTCAGGGGAAGATGATTACGGTAGCTCTCCAGTCTTCCATTCCAGTTTAGGACTTTCACATGAAGCCCAAGCTCTCTAAGGCATTCCACCTATTTATTTATAATCACAGAACCACAAATCATTGCAACCTGTAACTATACTACACTGAATTCAAAAGATCTATAACCCTCTGAACTCTAAGAAATCTAAGAAAAATCAAAGATATAGCCTGGCTAAAGTGTAATGAACACTGTCGGTATTTGACCTTAAACACACTTATGTGGACAATTGGTGTAGAGAGATTAGACTGAAAGTATATCCAGATAAGCATGTCTGTTACCTTTGTTATGAATTGGCAGATGTTTCAATGGGCGTGGACTTAAACATGAAATGTTTCTACAGTCGTTAGAGAATTCTCAAAGGGCTAACTGCTTTGAGTCATATCTGTGCTAAAGGTAGAGAAGCTCGTCTTTCTCTGTTTCGTATTATACTCCATATTCATATTAGATCACTCAGTTCTCTAAAAACATGTTTTTTCCCCTTGTTTCTATCCCATGCAGAGAGAAATAATATCTCCCATACAGTACTCATTCAGATCCAAACTCTCTCAGCCAGAGACAGGCCACCTCATTGATACAGATTAAGGCCCAGTTTTACAGAAGCCACAGGTCAGAGCAGGCCTTGGAAGACCTGGGTTTTGGTCCTATTCCAAATACTAACTCGAGGGAATCCTCATTACTTATCCTGTAATATCAAGGGTTGAACAGATGATCTCTTAAGGTCCGTTTGACCTCTTTCTAAAAAGCAGTGATTTTTTTTTTAAGTTTGCTTTTATGAGATAATCTCAGGGTTTGAAATAAATTGTTCCTGTGTATCCATTAGCTCTGAGAGAAGTTACAGCAGCACGCTGTGTTCAGATGGTGAAAATACTAGTAATTAAGCCCTGCCTCTTCATTCTTCAATTCTAACTAATTCTAACCTAATTCTAAGACTTTAAGGGAGATGAAAAGAAAAGTGAGTATGGGAGAGAGAAATGAGGTTTTTAATAAAAGCAAATATATTACTATTTATTATTTCAGTATTTTGTATATTCTTTCATATACGTAAAAGACAATATCTAAAGTGAGCAATCTAACAGATATTCAAATGGACTCTAAAAATAAAACATCTGGGGGCGCCTGGGTGGCTCAGTTGGTTAAGCGACTGCCTTCGGCTCAGGTCATGATCCTGGAGTCCCGGGATCGAGTCCCACATCGGGCTTCCTGCTCAGCAGGGAGTCTGCTTCTCCCTCTGACCCTCTTCCCTCTCGTGCTTTCTATCTCTCATTCTCTCTCTCTCTCTCAAATAAATAAATAAAATCTTTAAAAAAATAAAAATAAAACATCTGATCTTCTGTACAGTGTGAAACCTAACTCCCAAGTTCAAATTCTAGTTCTGCCACTTGCTAACCTTGAAAACTGGGCAAGTTTCTAAACCTCTCAAAGTCTTAGTTCCTCATCTATAACATAGGAATAATAACAGTTCTTCATAAGGTTATTGTGACATCTAAAGGGAATAATTTATGTAAAGCACATAGCTCAGTGCCTGGTTCTGTGAGTGCTCAGTTGATGTTAGGTAGCAGCTGCTACTGCTGCTATTAAAATAGACCCCTCTGAACATGGAGACCCAGTCCTCCCGCAGTCATATGCTCAAAAACAAAAACAAAAAAAACCAAAAAACAAAAAACCAATCGCCTGGTTTGACCCCTTTATTTTGAATGGATGGTAAAACATTCCAGTTTTTAAATCCTTCAGAGCTTAAAATTCATATAGAGCTTGTTATGTCTTCAAGTCAGATGTAGGCCAATATGAGAAAATCATAGAGGAAAAACAGGTTTCCCGAGGCCCACCTTTGTACCAATTTAAAATAATCCAGGGACAGGACAGAACTTTTAGCTGGTCGTTATAACCTCATTATAAGAATCAGGTCCAAACCGCTTGTGAGGTAACGAGAAGTGCATTTCTTTCATTGCATTTTGGGTTCTCTGTAGTGGGTAAATGATTAGTTTTATGGAATAAAGAGAGAATAAAGAAAACTTAAGAATTTCGGGGCTCCTGGGTGGCTCAGTCGGTTGGGCGGCTGCCTTTGGCTCAGGTCATGATCCCAGAGCCCCCTGCATAGGTCCCGGCTCAGCAGGAGCCTGCTTCTCTCCTCCCGGCTTGTGCTCTCTCTCGCTATCTCTGTCACTGTCTCTCTCTCTCTCTCAAATAAATAAATAAAATCTTTAAAAAAAAAGAAAAAAACTTAAGAATTTTCAAAAACAGAGGTAAAGCTTGGAGAGCCAGGGAAGACATAATATAATGTGTAATCTCACTTTTGTCATATCACTTAAACTTTAGAATGGTCTTTCCTTAAAACGAATCTTGAGGAAAGAAAGCCTTTTTTTCCCCAAGAAAGGGAGCAGAAATGTCACAGCTGTTTGACTCAGCTATTTTGTTTGTACCAGTATTTCCCATGTATTGAGCAGTTAGAAATTTCTCCTCTGTTACATGTTCTTAACCAGTAAATATACTTAATTTTGTTGATCTTTGAACCATTTCGTGTAAGTGAAATTTTCCCACACATTGAAGCATATTCTTAAGAATCAAAACTTTCACATTTTAAGCATTTTTAGAGAATTTCTCTACCTTCTTTTAACAGAATAATACACTGAACCTTAACATGATTGGAAATAGTATAGAACAGTGGTGTTCTAGCTCAGTGATACTGTCAGGTCAGTAAGAGTGGTACGTTTATGTGCCTCTACAGTAAACAGTCCGAGACAGCTTGCTCTTTAAAGTTCTTTTGTCTGCTTTTTATAAAATTTGTTTTTTCTCCTTTCCATATCTCCACACTGTTACTGAGCTGCTTGTAACAGCCTCTCTTTACTAATTTCTATTTGAGCTCTGTTGTAGGTTTGGCTTTTTGTCTAGGAAGGAAGTAGGCTAGCTAGGGATGGACTTAAGGGATTCTTCTGTGACCAAGAACCAATTAAAGCATATATGGCCACTCTAGATATTTTGTTTATTTTCTGTGCTTTAGTTTATTTTACTAATACGTGAGTTGACAGGAGGGAGGCTGTGTACAGGGTTGCTGCTTGTTATTTAAATGAGATGGAGGAAGACACTACCACTCAGCATTTACTGAACTCCTATGGTGTGCGTAATGCTTTACATATATTTGCTAATCACAGTAGCCCTTCAGGTGGATTATATTATCCCCATTCTACAGATGAGGAAATGGAGGCCCAGTGGGGTTTTATATTTTGCCAAAATGTTACTTAGTAAGTGATAAAGCCAGGAATAAAACCCAGTTTAATGTGAATGCAAAACCAGTGGTTTGGTTTTGTTTTTCATTTCAGGACAGGTTTTTTTTTTTTCCCCCAAGCTCAACCCTGAAACCTATTATGATTGAAAAACTACAGTCTAGCTAAAATCTGTGTGATTGAAAGACTAGCCTATAGTTTAGCTCTAGGAAGCATTGACTACATCAGGTATTGGGCCTTTTCCAGGTCAAAGTGTGTGTTTCACTAAAAGCTGAGTCATTGTTGCTAACATGTTTTATAAAATCCTGTGAATGCAAAAAAAAATCTGTGACTGCACAAGCTCTGGAAAGTTTTCTACAGCAGTGTAGGTAATCGGGGAAACCTACTAAGGAAACTTTCACTTCCATCCTTATTTCCCCCTTTGCAGAGTTCCTTTTCAGTATTGTCAGTGTGCTTCCTGTTGCCTGTGAGTAAGGCCAAATTAAGATTTTTACCCAAGACCATCTACTTACTTTGAAATAAAGAAACATTCGGAAGCCTGTGGAGTACAGTCTCTCTCTTCACCCACATAACTGTGCCATGGCTAAGTATGTCCTCAGCATCCACATGCATTCAGCCCAGGAAGCCACTGTAACAGAGCTTGGATCTGAACTCCACCTCAACCTTTGATCAGGAACTAGGTGTTTAGTCTTTGAGCTGTGCATTGGGCTCTCAGATATGACTGAGAGCATGTATTTTGGGAAAGAAAAATGCAAAGTTTAAACAGTTTTTCTAGTGATGGGATTGTGCTCACTTCAGATAGTCTGTACGTCCCATTAAAGTATTATCACAGGTTTGTTAGTAGAACCTGGGTTCATGTAGTACTTCAGAGATAGAAGGGCCCTTAGATACCTAGTTTAATCTCATTTTACACGAGTACACTGAGTCCCAGAAAGATAAAGTGACTTTTGCCAGGTCACACAGTAAAATGGTTTAACTTACTTACTTACTTACTTTATTTATTTATTTATTATTTATTTATTTATTAATTTATTAATTAATTAATTTATTTATAAGTAAAGATTTTATTTATTTGAGAGAGAGAGAATGAGAGAGATAGCACGAGAGGGAAGAGGGTCAGAGGGAGAAGCAGACTCCCTGCTGAGCAGGGAACCCGATGTGGGACTCAATCCGGGGACTCCAGGATCATGACCTGAGCCGAAGGCGGTCGCTTTAACCAACTGAGCCACCCAGGCGCCCGGTTTAACGTATATTTAATCTGCTAAAAACTGGAAGACTAGTCCTGTTCCCATGGTGGGTATAATATATTCTTGAGCTACCAGAGGAAAAAATTGAGCTGTGGCAAAATGCATTGAAAATAGGAGAGAACTAGGAAAACATTCATTGACAGTTTTACAGGTTCCTTTTGTAGTTTTTCCCTTTGGGGATCTGGCTGGGAATCCTACTCCGCTACTGTCCATATGTGGCAGTGTCATAATAGGCAGACTAAAAACCCTCCTCCTGTTGAGGAGCAGTAATGCCATTTTAAAAGCTTCTATTTTA